TGTGTGTGTGTGTGTGTGTGTGTGTGTGTGTGTGTGTGTGTGTGTGTAAGTTTAAGTATGTATTTAGTATTTAGAAGCTTCTAGAATAGTAGTTTATTTGGTTGTAATTAAATATTTAAAATTTGAAAGTTTAACTAAACGAATGAATAATTTACAGTTTTAATTAACATTATCTATGCCAAAGAGATTCTGTAAAATCATAGCCTATTTTTACGTGTATTACTATACACGCACACCATATTATATTATAATTTTTTAATACAGACTCCACTAGATAAAAATAGATAATTGTTGAAATTCGTTCTGTAATTTATTACACCTATAACGATGTATAATTAGTTTTAAAATAAACTACAATATTATGTTTACCGCGTACTTAATAAAGATTTTATTTATATTTATTTTAGAATAGTTGAATATTTAAAAAAAAGTGTATAGGTTCATATTTGTAAGATGTAAAATGTAAGATGTATACAAAAAAAATGATTCATATTTTTTATGATAAATTTATATTGAAATATAATTACAATTCACAGTCGTTACCAATATCTAAAGGCTATGTTTTGTCATTGAAGCCACTTTTTTTTATCAGTCACTACTCTTTTAATTTAAATAAATGATTTATAATGAAACATATTCTGGATCGAGTACTTCAGAAGAGTTATTAATTTTTTTATTACTGAATCACGGATCAGTTCATTGGTTGACTAGTTCTATAATGATCAGTGTGACTTAATGCGGTTTACTATTGGCCCAACGAGGACGACGGACGATTGGTGAAAAGAACATAAGTTGGCCTTCGTTCTGTAGACGAGGAATTTGATGCGACACGTTTGGAAAAAGACTGGTGGTTGGAATTAACCCGAAGGAATTAATAATAAAATGAGTACACGTTGTATAATCGAAGAACGTTATGTCAACGTTATACACTGTTTTATTTTTAGAATTATTTGGAAGGCGAGATAATTCATCGTCGTATCCAGTTGAATCAAACGATGACTATCTGCGCTTTCGTTTTTATCATCGAGAGGAGAACGTTACACGTATATTGACGGGCCCAATTAATCTAGAGCTTAAAATGGAGGCGGATCTAAGGGTCTTGGTCTCCTGGTAGCATTAAAAACCGTTCGTTTTATATTTCTTCGAAAAATTCACCAACACGCTTCATTGCTTGTTCGAAAAATATGTCCAAATTCTAATTTTAATAATTAATTATAAATCTAAAGTAGAATTTAAAATAAATAAATAAAACTTGTACAAAGTTATAATCATGCATTGTTTATGTAAGGAACTAGTATTCGTGTTGAACGCTTTATGTGGTACAGGGGTCATAGTTCCCTCCGTATTTTTTACCACTTTAAACCCTATACATACGGCATTGTATGTAATAAATGTATCATAAACGTGAAAATATCTGTCCACTGCAAATAATTTTTCAGCACGCATTTTAGCTATCTGCCGCATGCACGCGTACATTTCACTATTACAAATACCGCAGCGCAGTAGCCGTTTTCGTAGAAGGCAACCATTTGATCGGTGCAAATGCTATATAAACAACGTACACCACATGTGGGGAACCGTATGCAAATAACAGAATGCAGATGTTAGTGTGTGTGATCACATCATTCGTTCGCATCGTTCTCAAAGAGCAATTGTGTTACGGAAAAATTATTAATGTAGCAATAAGAAGTATAAAAGAAAATTTTATATTTTTTAATATCTACATGCAACTATATTCTGTCATTTATCGTGCAGATAATTGATACATTTTTTTGGTTTCTTGATACGAGGTATCCATGTAAGTTTATTATGTATGTATACGAGTAGATTCGACACCCGTTGACTATACTCAATACTGAAGTTTACCTAGAGTTCTATATTTTATTTGAAATCATTATTTTTCCAAAATTTTTAATTAGTTCTTCTTAAAGTGCTGTTAAACGCTTTATCGAAGCACAATATTTACTCGGTTTTTCAGCGCCCATTTGTTTGTAAATTCAAACGCTCTTGTATTTAACTTAATACCTAGCATATAATTTTACAACATTATTTTTCTTTTTAACGAGTGCTAAACGAATTTATTTATTTATTATTTTACATTAGTGTTATAACTTTTATAACCGACTATCTCACGAATATGAACAAGTCCAATAACAACTATGATGAATGTTATTCGAAAATTCGTTTTTTAGAGAGCAGTTTTTATTTATTATTTTTAATGTTTTAGTATTGTTTGTTGATTGTATTTGTGTATTTTTATATGTATTTGTTGAAGTTTTTATTCTATTGCATTTATAAGAGACTCATTGCCGTCGTCTATTAGGAAACTAACAATGATAATAAAGGTTTAAGGCGTTAGTTTGTAGATTTAGTTTCCACACTGAAGATCACGATCTATCGGAAGTTTAGAGTTTTTTAATAAAAACTACTGAACTATGATCTGATTCAGTTGTGTATGAGAGATACAATTATGTACTTAGATAGTACGAGATGTTCATCGTGCACTATGGGCCCAAGAATATATTCTGGAGGATTTAAATCTTATTTATTTTTATACAAAAGGCTTAAAGCCCATACTGGGGAGACATGAGTAATTAGTGATCAAATTATTGAAGTGTACAAGAACTCAATTATTTTATTTTGAGCGTTGAT